GTCTCGACTCCCCAGCCTACCATTCGCCGAATGCCGGGTCCTCAGGTTGAGGCCCTGATAGACCTAATTTCTCCTGTGAAAAGAGAGTTCAGCAACAATCTGAACCCTCTTCAGGTGATGAGGTCAACTGTTCCGAGGATGGCAAGTGCCGCCAACCCGAATGATGGGTTTGTCGAAACTACTCTTAGGTCCTATTCTAGGGACCCTAACAGTATAACCCCTGGAGACCCGGAGGGTTTCATGGGCAATCCTGTAAGAAGGGTATCAAACCTTGTAAAGGCTCGTATCCTAACACCCCCCCCTGTCATATCCATCCCTGGCCATCAACTTCCGGTTCCTCCGATCCCTCCGGTCTAACTCCGCTCCTCGCTCACTAACCTCGGAGCTCCCGTATTCCACAATCCTCTCGGTACCCCTCGATGGTCACCACCCCCTCATTTCAATTTATTACCTACGCCTCCCTAAGTACGGAGCCCCGAAGACTTCCGGACAGCTCTGACATCCGCTAGCGCACTCCCGCCTCCGCTGGGCAATACACTCGCCTGCCCTGCAGAGCCCACCTTCGGGCCTATCCCTCCTTTCCGTTTCTGGGTTATCACCTGCCTTTCCGCTAACCCCGCAACCCGACTCGTCGGTAATATTCAGTCAGCTAATGTTTAAACCCCATTAGCTCCACTCCATTCGGCTCCGCCAATTGCGGACCCGTCTTCGCTGTAACCATATATATATCCCACTTGTACATAGGTTACACCCCAGTAATAAAATCAACTAGAGTTACCCCCCCCCTTCGGTTCTGATTGCCAGTCAGTAAGTTAGGGCATGGACGTGTCACTAGGCACAGCGCTCTTGGCAGAAGTCGCTGAGGCCAAAGCCCTCCGTCACGGAGACTCTCCCTCGTCTCGAATCTGGTCTCTGACACCCCCAGCCGATGTAAAACCAGAGTTACTGAAAAAGAACTCTGTGCCATTTCCCACCACTTTGTGGTCTGGGGAAAACGATCTCGAAAAATTCAAGAACTGTGTCAGGGCACACCCACCTGACCCAGGTCCACCCGGACCCACCCGGCCACACCACACCCGCTCCCTGCTGTCTATCCCCCTCCCCCCTCCTTCCTCCCTCTCCTCCCCTTTCTCTTCCCTCTTCTTTCCCCTTTCTTTATTTCATTCTTCTCATCTTCCTCTTCCTGTTTATTTCTTTCTATCTACACGGACCACCTTCCTTTGTATCGATGTACTATTGACCCGTCCGGCCCACACACCCCGGATGGCTTCCCGCTGTGCCCAGCACGCGTGCATGCAGCGGACGCCCTCGGGATCCCCCACAGGGACACCTGGATGCCTGCGGCTGCCTCCGAGGATGACGTGGCACCCGTCATGTGACTCAAGCCGCATGTACATAAATGTACCTGAAGTGGGAACCAAAGAAGTAACCTTCTTCTCACATTCTCCACTTCAGGTAAGTAGTATAGTTTTCCCCTTTAATAATAATAACACATTCTCCACTTCAGTCTGAGTGGCCAGGGACCACTGTCCCGGATCGGGCCCGCCAGTACGCACGCCCGCTCCACACCCTGCGACGGCCTCAGTGCCGGACATTACCCCCGGGCCCTCTCGACCCCGGACGTGTCCCTGACAAACTGGCTGGTGGAGCTCACCTCCTGGATATCAGGAAATGGGTGGAAAGGCACAAGCTATAATGAGCTTCATATAGACACTCTAGCTCGCACCTTAGACAGCAACCCCAAACAAATCATGCTTCATGATATGAAGCAAGGTTTTGAGGAGGGGTCGACCCCTACCTTCATTCAGCTGTTAAACAAGCTGATGTTAACATACATGAAGAGATCGGTGGCAGTTCCTGCCACCAAACTCTTCAAAACCCTTGCGTATGATTCCTCCAAAGGAATCAAGCACTTTTACACTCAACTTCTCCGAGCATCAGAGAAGATGATAACTCGCCCTGACCAGGCAAGTTTCAATGAGTGTTTCTTGAATGCTCTTCCTTTATACATGAAGGAAGAGCTAGTAATGCACCATCGAATTTCAGTCGATTTCTCATCCAAAGATGACCTTTGGACTGCAGTATTATGTGTAGACCACATGTATGATTCCATGCGCACCATCAACACATATAGGGGAGGACTGACATCCTCCAAATTTACAAATCCCTCGAAAATAAATCGAGTGGCTCTCACAGCGCCGCCCCTCCAATGAAAGGGGTGGCAAGCTCCACTTCAAAGGTAACTATGACACGTAGTTTCCCTCCATCTGTAGCCTATAGTGCTAAGAAAACACAGGTGGTGACGAAACCCTTAGTGGCTTAGTCATCAAGAACTCAGACTGAGGCACCTACTGAGGTGCCTCCTCCAAATAATAATCGGTATGCTTCGAATACCGGATCTTCCAGTTATGGACGTCATCCCTCAAAGGGTGCAAAGGGTAACCCACTTTGCTACAAATGTGGCAAAATCGGGTACTTGTTCCAATGCCCAAATCATCCACCCAGGGCCAAACTTTTCACTCTGGGGATTGATGAGGATGTGAACGACGACACCCCAGCAACAGACACTGGGGTGGAAGAAGAAGAGCCATCTGGGGAGTCCCCAGATGACCCAGCAGCTGCTGTCGATGAAGGGGATGACTGCCTTGTCAACAATCCATATGAACACCCTGATCCTCAGGATGAGTTGGAAAGTGAGCCTGAAGGCGAGGTTGCCTTTGGGCATGTGGGTCTATGAGGGATGACATTTGTGGACCCATCTGAGGATAATTACATCCTCAAACTTGCTTTGGCTCAGAGGGCAGAGAAACTCCTGAGTGAAGAACAAATCTATGCTGAATTGGTCAACAAACCCATTCATCGATTCAAGACTGAGGGCCAGTTACCCTCTTGCAGGCAGGAAACTGAAACGGTTCCTGCTAAAATTTCAAAGAAAAACCTGCCCATGTTTGATGCAAAGTTTCGACTATCGCAAGAGGTGGGTAAATACCCTATGGATCAGAGTGCGGACTTGCGCCACACTCTGACTGGTCTCGTTGAAATCAATGGGACCAGAGCATTCACCCTGTTTGATAGTGGAGCAGAGACGGATGCACTGTCCCCCGACTTTGTCAGGGCATGCCACATCCCTCTGCTAGAGCTACCAAACCCTTTGGTACTCCAAATGGGTACCAAAGGGAGTCGTTCCTGCATTTACTACGGAATGAATGTTGACCTGAAGATATTAGGTCAGAATAAGAAGCACTATTTCGATGTTGTGAACATCGAAAGGTATGATGCTATATTAGGTGCTCCATGGTTGAACACAAATAAGGCGATTCTTGACTTTGGCAAGCACATCATCCACATTCACAGAGGCCAACTCCTTTCATTTGACGTTCCTTTATCTTGACTGGGCACCAGGCCCACCAACACAATTCAAGCCTAGTTAAGAAGGCTTTGCCCTCAAATAATCAGGCATCCAAATTGCCAAGCACACAGCAATTGTGACTTGGTAAGGTGAAGCCAACTTCACTGCCTGATCACCCCTCTAGGGAGGAGCCCAACCCTTGTAGTATAGCCACTATGAGGGGATCTTCTTACATGTCATCTGTACAGGATGCCATGCATAATTTTCCAGAACACTGGCCTGACCCAAAGTCAGGTCAGTTACCTGATTGTTCTCATCTGGACCATCGCCCAATGATGGAGGATGGTTTCATTCCCTCTGCAATTGGTGGAGGGCGTGTTTTGAAGACATCATGGTGCCTGCACCTGAGGTCTTGCCTCCTTTCCATGAAGTTAACCATAGGATCGATCTTATCAATCCCATGAAGCAGTACAATGAGCGGCATGCTACATGTCCTCAGGCTCTCGAGCAACAGCTACAAGAGAAGGCTCTTTGTTACGAGTGTGCTGGGTGGTGGGTTAGACGTCCTGCTGCCATGGCATGCCTGTTGCTCTGCCTTGCAAAAAAGGATGGCTCTCTTAGAACTGTCATAGATGTAAGGAATCGTAATGCGAATACGATCCTCGACATCACACCGATGCCAGACATGAGATCCATAATGGACAGTCTGGCAAGGAACTCATATTGATCGAAAATCGATATGACCAATGCATATGAGTGTCATATCCCGGATCTTCCGCCTCCCTCCGCTCTATCCATACACGACTCCTATGACCTCCACCAGCCCTCCCAATCTCTCTCTGCTACCTCCGGTCGATGCCAACAAACCTAGGACTACCTCCTCCTCCGACTCTCTCCCACTCTGCCACCCACCTACGTCCGCATCACCTCCGGACCTCCACCACCATACCTTAACCTCCTCGGACACCTTGTTCAAAGGAGTTGGGTTTGCTCGTTGTTGATAAAGTCTCAACTTGCTTATCTACCCTCCTTCCAACCTCCGGTCTCCACACCTCTGGTACTTCCGGTACCTCCTCATTCCTATATTATCTCCGGTCTTGATAATCTTATTGTTTTATCATTTGATATTTTCTATAACCCCAATCTTCCAGACTACAACTTCCGGGCTCCGGACCTTTCCAGACACCTCTTCTCTGTAGTTCCCTGCTTGTTCATAGATGCTTCCAGACCTTGCCATTCAGTTGGCTTTTATTTCTCTCACTCCACAAAACCTCAGACGTTGCAAGAGGGCTAGCAGTGAGGGTCAGCAACCAAGGTTGTGACCGCCCACAGTTTTGTGGCTGTGCTGGCTATCCCAAAAATGGCGGGACGGTTTCCTCTGCACACAATGAAGATAGTATGCAAATAAACATAGGATGTTGTTTGTAGTGACCTATATTAGTGCACCCTAGGTTTGCTTTTTCTCAAATGTGCTTCATTGTCGAGATATGGGTGAGAATCAGTTGAAAAAACACGAAAGATGGAGTTAATTTGAAAATTGACACCCAACAATACCTAGGTAAGGGTGACAGAATAAACTTTTAATTCAGGCGCAGGGGCTTGAGACTATTAGATGAAAGAGAATTTTTGCTTCAAAGATTTGGGAGATTAAATGGAGGTGGAAGTTGCCGAAGTCATCAAGTGTGCGCTCTTCCTGCCCGGAATGCATTCACAACCCACACAGGGGGTTGGAAAGAGTGTTGATATTATTATAGCATGGATTGAGGAATTTAAGGCCGTTCAGTTGACAGATGATGCGGGATGGGCAAGGAACCCAAAGACCACCATTGCACAACTGGAGCCGCAGTTGAGTGTATATAGGCTCCAGGATCCTCTGGATTCTCTCAGCAGCCATACACCAAGAAATGGCGACAAGGTTAGGGAACTAGTACTAGCAAATGAATGCGGGGAACAGTGGGGATATGGCAAAGGCCCAATGATAATGGCCGATTGATGCAAATCCATGAAGTAACTTACAAAATAATCAGCTTCCTAGATGTCCAGGGACCATATCTATTTACTAATGGAAATGATAAAGAGATCGGATGGAGTTTGAGTTGTGTGTTGAAACCTCAAGCCACTCGCCATAATTCTGGCGAAAAATAGGTCATGTGGGGGTGAAGGTTTGCAACATACGTTGCTGAGCCTCACTAGCAGCTCTCTATGCCAACTAAGCTTGTGGGGCCAAACTCTCCTAAACTCTCTACTTTCTCTCTAAACTTCACTTGACTCTCGATCCTTAAACTCCGTGTGGGTTCTCCGGGATTTCCGCAAGGTCCGGGCTCAGCGTCCACTACTCACTCGTTGTGAGCTAGACAGCTGCCCTTATTCCTACTGTTGGAATTCCACTCACTCACTCCAACTCTAGCGGGTCCTAGCACCTTAGAGAATTTGGGGGAGGGGAGAACTTCTTTTCAAAATCCGGTATGTACAGGATTATATCTAATAATTATTTTTAGAAAGAATAGATGGCAAATATTGGTACCATATGGCACCTGGATACCTTATTAGGCGAAATAATAAAAAAGGGTAACAGTATCAATAAAAGAATATTGATCAATAACTGAAATGATGGCAAAATATGAAAATATAAGAAAATAAGCGATTTCTCAACGGATTTACGGAATTAAGATCCTAAATTGGAAATGTAGCTGAATAGAACTATTACGCAGCCGATAAGCATTTTTACCGATTTATTAGACGCCGTGGGAACGAGTGAGGCTGGAATTCTGGATTGCCGCTTGAGGTTCCCATGCCCGCACATACTCGTGACCTTCCGTGCCTAACCTGTCCAATGCAGAACTCCGTCAAATCTCGACCGATTGGGGCGTTCTTGGTATCGTCAGAATCGTACGAATTAGGACTATTTTTAGGTACCAAATTCCATACCGAGTTGTCGCATGAATGGAAGTGGTTTTATAGTCATGAAAACGGGTATCCAAGCCGAGTCTGTGTGTGGGTGATTATCCCGCCTACAACGTAATTCAGGCTTTTCACCTATTCCTATTTGTTTTGTGGACTTCTTTCTATTTACTTCCCCTTCCCCTTGGTAACCTTTATTTACCTTCGGATCCAATTGTTTCCACTATATGTACATGTGTACCCCTCTAGTAAATAGTTCCCCCAGTTATAATATAAACAGTCTTCAGCCCTCCAAAACCTCTTCCAGGACGTCTATCGCATCCCACTTGTCTGCTGCTCCTAAGAACTGAGTAACAGACACTCCCAGAGACGCCTTGGTATAACACCCAACGAATCGTGTGACGAACGATTGACCCTCGCTAACGCCTCCTCCGTTAAGTAGTGAGGGGGGGGCCTTCAGCCCCCTTCTGCTGGGGGCCTCGGTTCCTCTGTTGCCAGCTCCCCTGACAAATGGAGACAACGAGAATGTACTGGGTGCAGTGCTCCATTCCGAGTTGCTGAAGCCGAGTCCCTTCAACACCCCATCACCCTCGGAGCTCCACCCCACCTCCGGTCTGTCTCCGACCCACCATCAGACAACTCGGAACACCAAGCTCCACCTGACAGCATTGCCTGGATAGCAATCGACCTATCCCCCAAGGAAAGATGTTCATGACAATGAGCAAATATGCATGGAACTTGACTGTGTTCCATGCACTGCATTTGCCACTCCATGGGGCATGTACGTCTTGAATGTACTGCAGCAAGGGGACTGCAATGGTCCCTCAACCTTTCAAAGGACCATGTTGTGGGTCCTCGGACAAAACATCAGATGGGCCATACACACATGGTTCGATGATATATCTATGGGAACTGATTCGGTTTCCGAACACAATGAGAAGCTTTTGTGGGTCCACAACCGACTGAAAGCTGAACACCTGTACATCAGTAGGAAAAAGTTTGAGCCTTTTGCAGCGGTTCTGGACATCCTAGGATGTAAGGTGGATGGCCATGGAGTCCATGTGGACTCTAAAATGGCAAAACTTCGCGACTGGCAAGTACCTGAAGATCACTGGGAAGTACTACACTTCCTGGTGTCAGAGACCAGGTTGAGATGAAGGAGTGTCTCCGTGATGGAGGGCTTCGGCCTCAGCGACGTATGCCAGGAGTGCTGTGCCAAGTAACACGTCCATGCCCTAACTTACTAAACTGGCAACCAGAACTGAAGGGGGTAAACTCTAGTCGATTTTATTACTGAGGTGTAACCTATGTACAAGTTGAGTATATATATAGTTACAATGAGAGCGGGCCCACAAATGGCGGAGCGGAGCTAACGGGGTTAGACATTAGCTGATTGAATATTACCGACAAGTCAGGTTATGGGGTTAACAGAATGGTAGGCGATAACCCAGAAACGGAAAGGAGGGATAGGCCCGAAGGTGGGCTTGCAGGGCAAGTGAGTGTATTGCCCAGCAGAGGTGGGAGTGCGCTAGCGGACGTCGGAGCTGTCTGGAAGCCTTCGGGGCTCCGTACTTAAGGGGCATAGGTAATAAATTGAAAAGAGGGGGTGGTGACCATCGAGAGGTACCGAGGTGATTGCGGAATACAGGAGCTCCGAGGTTAGTGAAGAAGGAGCAGAGGTAGACTGGAGGGATCGGAGGGAGTGGAAGTCGATGGCCAGGGATGGATATGACACCTGGGGCTCATTGAGTATCTCGCGCACTTCATGCCAAATGTTAGTGCATATACAGGTCTGTTACAGACAATATGCACCAACTACTTACCATTCTTCTGGACCCCTTTACACCAGAAGTGTTTCGACAAGATCAAAAATCTTGCCTGTAAAACACCGATTCTGAAACCCATCATCTGGAGTGCCCCTACGGGCCTCTCTGACAATGAACAATCGAAGTTCCAAGTCTGGGTTATCATGGATGCCTGCCCAGCAGGCGTTGGTGCTATTCTGGCCCAGGGCACAAAATGGGAAACCTCCCACCCTGCAGCATTCATGTCGAAGAAGTTTACTTCAACACAACATTGTACAAACTTGAGGCCCTGGGAGTCCTGGAAGCCCTGTCCAAATGGATGGATGAGCTAACAGGTGGCTGTAAATTCACGGTGGTAACGGACCATAAGGCCCTGACATACTTCAAAGAGAAGCAACACATGTCAGGGTGCCACATAAGATGGCAGAATTTTTTCTATGGTTTTACCTGTGACATAATCTATGTCGAAGGCCATAGGAATAAAGTCACGGACACTCTGAGTCACTACTATGAGTCTTTGTGTGATGAGGACTTACATTATGATGAGTTTGTCTCTGCGGACATCCACATAGACAAATTAGGGGATGATCTCCCCTTAAGTCGCATTGAAGAAGCGGAGGAAATGTTATATTTCCATCACCTCTGTTTGAAACTCGCAACAACCAGACTTGGCATGGAAGATCACGACATTGAAGCCGCGATCTTGGACCCACCTGAAGACCCTTCAGGGAGGAGCATGCTTACGCTCGCTGACATAGTCCCTGAAGAAGGAAGTTTGAGAAGCGTAACCGAGGAAGAGTCCTTCCTCAAGCAATCTGCTTGGCATGGTATATTGGAGAACCCGTTGCATTTCCCGAGAAAGGAAGAGTCAAATGTCATACTACTAGGCCTGAATGGAGCATGTTAGGTTTGGGAGGGGGACACAAAAGTGGAGGAACATCAGCTGGAAATAAAGAAGACCCTGTTAACCTAGGGGAAATGAATTGAAACCTAGGGTATTGGCAATGATAGAGGACCTCTTGCACGGCTATAGGCTTTTCGCGTCGCAAAGATTCATAGGACCCGCTACAGAGTAGCGGGAATCAGCACTGCAACAACACAGGGCCATGCGGCACCATTCAGTGCTAGCTACCATCATGATTAATCATATGGAATAAAAATACTAAATTGCAAATTTGCACTTTTGGTCATGCAACTGAACACTATCAGCGACTAGGCCGGCCAACTTGGATGGGGATGGGTGCACCACCAAGAACAGCCGGTGTGACCATGGTCACCATGGAACGAACTTCATTCCCAACTGCAAGATCCGCTTCCATGACATCCTTGTCACCCTCTTTGTCTGCTTCTCCCAAATTTGCAGGCCCCATCCCCTCGACAATGTTTGAAACATTTGAAGAAGCAGGTTTAGACGGTATAGATACAACAGGGACAGGCCCAGTGATATCCTTACCAGTGATACGACTGTATTCGTCAAGATCTTGTTCAGACGCGATGAGTTGCCAATTTTAACAGAAAAGGCTTCAGCATACCAATGGGCACTTGATTTTTGAGGTACATATCAATGAGCTGTGAATTCCTTTTGTCCTCAGCTTTAAATTTCCGTTTGATATCTGCACGGGTCCGCCCTGGCATGACCCGCGCAATGGACTCGAAATCCATATAGAACATGGACAGCCACTACCGAAAACTTTCGGATGAGCGATTTGAGTGGCGAACAAGTGGAGTACGCACGCGGTAGAACTCTGCAGTCTCGATTTTTGACCATCGCTGCCCCCCCTTGTTCCTTCTAGAGTGTGACTGTGAGTTGACAAACCTGTCACTTTCTCTTTCAGTTATATGCCTCATTGAGTCGTCTGGAACAACATCTGGTCGGGTATAAGTCATTGATCTCTCGTCTACAGCGATCCTGCCATGCTCGTCCATCATCATACGGGGGACTATCGCATGCCCTGGCAGGCGGTTAATGAAGTCCATATCATCATCCCTATCCAGAATCGGTTCAGATGGCCCGCCCACGACTCCCACGCTGGCATCATTGGACTCAGTGAGTGGGGGGGCCATAGTCTCTGGAACGTTTAGACTGTCATCCTCAGGGTCTCTTGGCAAGCCCATCGTCAGCCGCCTGTCTCGCTCCCTGAGAGATGTACGCAGTTCTCTATTACGCCGTCTGGTTTCTTCCAGTCTCTGGATCTTCTCCGAACGGCCAGGAGCGGATCTACCGACGGGCATGTCACGAACTAGTTGAGACATGGTGATCTGAGTTGGGTCTGGGGGCTCTCTTTCTTCCGCCTCTCTGTCCTCTGCTGCTATTTCTTCAGCGGTCTTCGGTCGACGTTTCCTAGTTGCAATCCCTCGGCGGACAGGCTTGGATGGCCGCTCCTCGCCTGCAGAAGATCCCGTTGCAGGAGATAAACTAGGGTTATTTAACATGGGCTGAGGGACCTTGTGTTTTCGAGAGTTTCGAGCCGGTGTTGTCCTTTGTTCGGGTGACACAGATACCGAAGTGCCAGGGTCGGCACGCGCAGAAGCAGGAGTAACGTGTGGGAAAGTGGTTATGGCAGTAGACTGTCCTCTGGGGGCGACGGTATCGGACTTAGGAGGGTGAGAAGACGAGGCAGAAGGTCGAGATATTGATATTGAGCCTATCGGGGTGGCTCCGGGCGGTGCAATGAAGGGATTCTGATTCTGAGTATTACCGCCCCCAACTTTTCCCATCTCAGGAATAGACGCTTGCGAAGAGGCTGAATCAATACAATTCAGTATCTCCTGTCCGTCCACGCCATGGTCGAGGTCTAGCAAATGTGGCAATCCCTTAACAGGGCTGGAATCCAAAGGCACAACCGTTCCCTGACGGGATACAGATGCCTTGGAAACATCTGAAAGCGCAACCGATCGTCTCTGAGGTTTGGACGCAACTTTGAACTTCATTCCCCCTGGCTTGTCTATGTTCTAGGAGTAAATAGGGTGGCCCATGGTGTTCCAATTATGAGACATACCGACTCTGCTTTTGGCGACGTGCATCCTGGAGACACAGGAGGCGAGCAGTCGAGAAAGTCGAACTACAAATACAGCTCTTTTTTTTTTCGGCTTAGTTGTCACGTGATCCGTTTTGGTTCCGCCTTGCTCGTTAACAGGGCTCAACAAAGAGTGCACCATATCTCAGCAACATAAACTAGCCACTTGCGGTTTGCTGGAAGACGTTTGTATATTTATTACGCCCGGACATTTTTAGTGATAACGATAATCTTCATTTTTTATGATTTTAGGTTTTACCCCTTTTACACGATTTTCTCAACAACAGCTGAATGGAATGGGCTGTAAATTGGGTGGAAAGAAGTATTGGAATTATGAACTAGTCGCGAATTAGCGCTAGGAAATATGCAGACTCTGTCGGAAAACACCGTCCAAGCATTGTGACGTGTTATCAGGCATTACAACGCTTCTCCACGGCACATACCGTTTTAACGCTTTCAACACGTGCTCGATCGTTCCAATGCTTCGAGGCGTTGTAACGCTTCCCGATCGTCTCAACGCATTTCAACTCTTTGTGAGTGTTACAACGGGTTACAATGATCACCAAGTGTTACAACCCGTTGGAACGGCAATAGGGAAAAGTCAACAAAAACTGAAAATCTTTCTGCGAGCCATGCTTTGCCATGGCCTGCCACCGTTGCAGCTCACATTCTATTGGGCTGTTTGAAACCCAGTTTTCGATTTAATGGAGGTATGGGACTAAGACAGAGTGAGATTCGTGCCACTAACATTAAATGATTATCACACGCAGGGCTTGAACTTGGATCAGTTGGAATATAATTTTAGTAAGAAGTGGACACTTTACCGCTGTACTAATGCTCCCCTAACGCTCTCCTGAGATTTCCCAGACAATATAGCCATCAATTATTTCAAGGAACAATCAATATACATCAATATATGGCATATCTATTCATGGTATGTCATGTCCATGCATAATAATATTGACACGATAATTGTTGTCAATTCGTGACCTCAAACATTGCTTAAGTAATCCCACAGCGTCGACGGGATAGTTGTGTTCCCAATTTCGTGACCATGGATGTGCCTCAGAGGCACCTAGAGCTGGAATCGAGAAGGCCATTCGACTCATTTCAGGTGCCATCGGACATTCAGACGCTGCACGAAGTTAGTTGATTTTTTAGTTTTTTTATTCACTCTTGTTCAGCCCTGTTGACGGAAAATGTTGAAGGAACTGGCTGAAAAAGATGCGCAAATTCAACAACTGAAAGGCCAAGTGGTCACTATTGCAAGGTTGAAACATGTTTCAAAGGCGGATTCCCTACCAAAACGCCAGTCGCAAAATCCAAAAACCAAAGGTGAACTGGATGCTTCTGCATTGACGCACCTGTATTCCTTGACAGTCAGCCCATTCCTTACGGCACGCATATTGCTAACGACGCTGAGTGCTGAGTCATGCTGGGATTCCGAAAGGCGGTGGGATAATGCCTTCATGCAAGAGGGGCATTTACGCGAGTTTCTCGAATGGCCAAGAATGTCGGAAACGATCAAGAACAGCATTGGCGAGCCTACAATCCACCAAACAGTGTGTACAATTACCTCAGATCGATGAATAGACTGAACCAACAGACTCGATGAAGATCCACCAGGCAGCTGGAAGAATGCGACGTGCCATTAGATTCCAGATGAATTCCCCAGGAAACATCGCATTGGTTTTCCCATTCTGGCGCCCAGATCACAACTGCGAACTGCACTCCTGTGATGGGGCAGTTCAGTTACGTGGAACACCTGATGGACGCAGACGATATCCCATCGACCCCCTCCTTATCCATATGCAAGAGGGCGAACCAAAGCACTGGATGTTCCGATCCTGTTACATTCTTCGCGTAAGGCAATCAATTGTGACCTCATCTCCGAGAGCTAACAATCACTGAACTACAGACTCTGGGCGTGATCCTCTTTGCTGGAAAATTGCCTGAGATGGACAATGCAAAAAATGTCATCAAGTCTTGTTGGGATATTAGTGCCCCAAACTGCACTGCAAAGGTTTACAACATCCGCGAGGTTACTCCAGGACTCATTGCCCTCGCTGCCGTTTCAGTGAGTATTTGTCGAAGACTCTTTTATTGTTTACGCTAATATATGACACTGTCGTAGGCCTGGAGAGTTTTACTTCCCCCTGAGGATCGGCACCAGGATGAAGACCGGTTCCACTTCTGGAGGAAGTGTCTTATAATGGCCATTGGTGCAGAGAAAAAATATGCAAAGGGCAGACCAATGCCCTTCCACGAAACAATGTCCCAAATGAACGAATGGTTATTTGGGCAGGCTTCCGGACAAAGTGGGAACGAGAAGTTGGAACAGGTGCCGGTATCGCAAGTGACGGACTTAGGGGCCAAGTCCAACCTCTTGTTGGAGCATGAATTCTTTGCCGAGTTTAAGGCAGCAGTGATGACGGAAGAAACGGAATTAGAAACTGAGGTGAGTTTGTGTGGGGTTCCCTTTGGCAACTAAGATGAGACGAACAAACCATAGGCAGGTGGGACCCCAGACCAATTGTCCAATGACGCCAACTCCAACAACAGCAATAGCCATGGGACCCTAGCCGCGGTGGTCACTGAGAATGCAGCTACATGCCCAGCAGTAGAACCACCCATAGGTTCTACTGCAACCACTGCAGGCGCAACCCCAGCCACGCTTGCAGAAAGTGTACCAAGTGGCACTTTGCCGGTTGCTCAAGGCAAGCAGAAGAGAAAGCGCAATACACAGAAAAGCCAGGCCAAGGGGTCTGTTCGCAAGAGTCGACGTGTCAGTGGCCCCGTGGGAGACACCAACATTCCCATTTCTGATATTGCATTGGCGCTGCCCACTCAAAATAGTGCCCAAAATGCAAAGGTGAATGGGGACATCAAATAAACGAAAATTTATTTGTAGCTCAGTGCTTCAGTAGTCAGAAAAAAAATAACTAGTTCACAAAGATTCCGTACATCATTGTAACATGCGGTTGCAAGTAAGTTCGTTGACTCCGAGACTTGTTCGGGTCCATCGGAACCAATTGATTCGACGATTGACAGAACGCGTCCAAATCGCATCACCACTATCCATGCCTAAAGCCCCAGCTGCTGTTTCCAAGAAGGCCAATGTTGCCTACTCGGAGTCTTGTGCTCATTGTCAAAAGAGGCTGACTCCTCAAAATCTCAAGCAGCACGAAGCTGCTTGTCGTGTCAATCAGACCCGGGATCAAGTGAGGCAACGCATGATGGATGAGGATCGACAGCGTCTTTATGATGCTATAGAAAGATCGAAGGGTTCAGTGGTATGTATACCTCTTTCTTTTTAGGCGGTCACTGGCAGGACTTTGAACTATGACAGCTTCTCTCTTCAGGAATGCATCGCACTCCGGGGACTGGGGATTTATTAGAAGACTTTGAAATCTTTGAGTGTCCCTCGGGTTCATTAGATGCTACAATAGCTATACAGACCGCCGATGCAAGCATGCCTGAATCATCCGTGCCCGCAGCTGAGGCACACCAAGGTTCGCACTGTGTCCACTTTGACGTCCTTATTCATATTCCTTTCCAGACAGTTTTCCTACTCATCCCAACTTGGATGCCGTCAAGATCTTTGTTAGAACCCACCCTAAAGCCCGGATGGCCACTTCATTATTATTATCTGCAGCTCCAACACCCGTTATGTCCAACTTTGAAGCATTCCACCCATTTGCCACTAAAGAAGATCTTGAATTCACGGACATCTGCATTAGGAACAACATAAAGAACGAGGTAATTGATTCTCTCCTTCAGCAACACGCGAGGATTCCAAACTCGCCGATAACACTAAAAAATCACCGGGAACTGTTCCAAATACTTGATCAGGCATCCAATGCCTCAACCACTGTAAGCACAATGCTATTACAGTTAACTGTACTGTAGTCGTAGCTAATCTTTCATTGAGTTTGAGACAGTCACCGTTGAACATCGACTGCAAACCCTCTATCGGAAAGTCAAAGTGCTTTGTAAATCAATCTTCAACTGGGTCATGGAGCTCCTGCGAGACCCCTTCATCTGTCCATCTGTTCATTGGTACCCAGAGCAACAGTACTCCCAGCATCCTGATGGTTCATGGGTGCGACGCATTGGGGAGCCGTGGACGGGTGATGACTTTTGGGCTGCCTGGGTATTTCCCTTCATAGTGTATTCTAGCTAGCTAATCTGTTCCAATAGGATGCTATCCCCGAAAGTACAAATGGAATCGAAAACTGTCTATTGGGCATCTATATCTACGCCGACAAATCAAAACTCTCCTCTTTCGGCTCTGTCAACGGTTACCCCGTTATCGCACGACTGGCCAATCTGCCCCGATCTATGAGAAATTCCCGAGGAGTTGGTGGTGGATGCTTGGTTGGGTGGTTGCCAGATGTAAGTGCTTTTTCTCTAATTAAGCCTAATATTTGTATCATTGTAATCAGCTCCATCCAAACGGATCCGAAAGCTGTGACAGCCATTGGGCTGAATTCCAAGCACAAATTTACCAACGAGCCATGTCTGAGATCCTCCGGTCACTCTGTCGGCCAGGCGCATATGGACAAAACATAGTGTGTGCAGATGGGGTGATGAGACGCATTTTCCCTTTCATATTTGGACTCATTGCAGACAATCAAGAAATGTGAGTATGTTATATCATTAATAATCCTGCTGATATATTTATGACAGATGGAGCATGTTAGCGATGCGGGGCGGTCATTCGATAATGCCATGCCCTATCTGTCTTATACCCCGGGACATGTTAAGTCGGCTCGATCTGGTGTTTGAGAGACGCACAAAGGTTCAATCGCGCAATGTCATTAATGCGGCAGCGACTATGGCAAGTAAGGGTGGGGCTGAGGAACTCCTAAAGTCACAGGGACTCCGATCGCATGAGGTAAACTTTGCACTCTCAGTGGTAGGCTCAACTCATGGCCCAAAGAGCGCGTTTTCAACAGTGCCTAACTGTGACCCCCATTGGGCTGTTACATTCGATGTTTTACATACATGGCTCGAGGGCGTCTGGGGGGATCATATGTTTGCGATGATCAGAGGTGTTGTCCCTCTCCTTGGAAGGGACATTGTCGGACGATTTGAGACAACGTAAGTTCAAATATTCCCAAGACTCGTTCCATCTCCTGATATCTAGTGCCCTGATAGGTTATCCTCACTCCCGCGATGGAAGGGCCTCAAATCATTCCCATCAGGCATCCTCAGCCAGAGTTTCAATGATGGAACCACGAAGGACCATGTACTCCGGGTAAGGAATTAATTTCAATATTGCATTCGTATTTGTTCATTATGCCCCAGGTCATCCTGCATGCAATGCATGCGTTGAATCCCAACCTAATCCGCTTAATACACTGTGTACGGAACATGGCAGTAATCAACATCTTGTTCCAATGTGAGATCCTGGACGATGATAGAATTTCGCGTGGACACGCGGCCCTTCAAGAGCTTCAACAATTGACTCAGGTATGATTTCTGTCATTGTGCCAATTTACTCACCCAACATCTCTCACAAAAGGGAGAACTTGTGCCTGCAACGCTTATTGCTCGATCAGAGGACCTCCGAGAGAAGATGCGAAGCAAGCGGGCATCCGATGGACAGAAGTCCTGGTCATTCCCCAAATTCCACATCCTACTTCATCACAGTTTCTCATCCTTCACGGCCAAAGGAGTGCCCGCAAACTCAAGCACGAAACCAAATGAAAAGGAGCACAAATTTTTTCGCGATACATTTCATGCAGGCAATTTCAAGAACACCGCCGAGCGAGTTCGTACCTACCACCTTAATCTGTCCCAGTAATAACATTAGAAATAGGTTACCATCCAGACACAGCGAGTCCAAATCCTGGACCTTATTCGTCAAGACATCGAACATTCCACCACCAGCACCAGCGACCCATCCACTGTGGCACTGGAAGGACCCGTCAATTCTGCAAGTGAAGCACAAAGCCCCAGTGCCAATAGACCCAGAACTTTGAAAGCTGTCGCATGCTCAATTTCCTTTATTGAGCAATCTCACTTGGACGAACCCGTGTATCTTGGCTTGACTTTGAAGTTCTTCGTACTAACTATGGACTGCATAATATTGATGGATCCAAGGCAAATTGGGTACGTTGACTTGCGATAATATATGCATCATCATTTTAACTTCTCTTCTGGGTTTAGGTGATTCTACGACACTACTACAAGATCCGGTATCGATCTTTCGATGATGGAAGTTGGGGTGAAGAATTCGTACGGACAAACAAGACTTTCCATGGTCGTCACAGGGATGATGCTGTAGTGATGGGGGACCTGTCCAGCAGCGTGAGGTTTGCCCAAGTCCATGCACTGCTTGAGATATCTGCGGGATTGTCCCAGGATCTCATTGCACTAGTGTCCGACTTCCACATGGCCTCACTCTCTGAGTATACGGCACAAGACCGAGCCACTGGATTCTTGCTATTCCAACTCGACAACGCCGAAAATTCTCACTTTGTGCCGGTGACGGACTTCACTTGGCGGGCATTTTTGGCCCCTACATCTGACAGACAGCGGCCTCGCCATTACTTACTTAATGATGTAATCGATACAGACATGTTTTTTCGCTTGAAAGGTTATCATCCCTCAGCATGTAATATTGCGGGACCCTCAGACAACTAATATGACGTGTATCACGATAATTTATATGTGGCATCCTCAGCAGCCCGTAAGAACTATAGTATTATACCCATATACAGTGTGTTCGAGTATTTTCTCATGAAGCGTTGTAACGGGCCACTAAAGCGTTGTAATGTGTTGAGAGCTTCTTAACGCGTTAAAACAAAATCCCGTGTTTTGCGACATCCTTCCCAGTCGCTCACATGATTTCTCCGAGGTTTAGCCGCAACTTACGTTGCCCTCTGAAATCTGTCGAGCGACTGGTACAACTTGCAACACATGATGTTCCCACGCTAAGTTGTAATGAGTTGTACATAGGTTACGGAATATAATTTTTAGTATTTACACATGCGGTCATTGCACTCAACCCAACCCGTGAAGACTAAGGGAGCACATCCAAGGTTATGGAGTCCATATCCGGGTGTGCGCGAAGTTTAACAGTTTATATATTACTTAGTTGCTAGTCACTTGTTTGTGCCCGGTGGCATAAGTGGTATAGCGTGAGCTGAGGCTATGCAGTTTTTTTAAGTGGCACATGTTTGATTCTCACATAGGAAAACTTTTTTCGGGCCCTCCCATGGAATAATTGTGTGAAATGGTTGTTTTCTGTACTTTTCTGTACACTAAGGAGTGAAGGGTATGAAAAAAAAAAGTTTCCTGAGTGAGAATCGAACATGTGCCACTTAAAAAAACTGCATAGCCTCAGCTTGCGCTATACCACTTATGCCACCAGGCACAAACAAGTGACTAGCAACTAAGTAATATATAAACTGTTAAACTTCGCGCACACCCGGATATGGACTCCATAACCTTGGATGTGCTCCCTTAGTCTTCATGGGTTGGGTTGAGTGCAATGACTGCATGTGTAAATACTAAAAATTATATTCCGTAACCTATGTACAACTCATTACAACTTAGCGTGGGAACATCACGTGTTGCAACTTGTACCAGTCGCTCGACAGATTTCGGAGGGCAATGTAAGTTGCAGCTAAACCTCGGAGAAATCATGTGAGCGACTGGGAAGGAGTCTGGGAAATATGTACAAGTGTCAGACTAAAGTCTGCTCCAAGTGATGAAAAGAAATCTCACCTCAGTTCCAAGGATGTGAACTGAGGAGAGAGGAAAGAGAAAAATCGCATGAGGTGGCTTTTAAGCCATCCTCGACTGCGTTCATCAACATGGATGCCAAAAGTAGAAGCATCGGGCAATCCTTCATGGAAATGCCCGTGCGCAAGATGTATAGTCCGACGGACTCAATGGACGGTCCACAGCGTACCAAGAAAACAAGGATTTCAACAAGAAGTCCCAATGTGTCCCTCAGGACTTTGTTTTTTTTATTCCCACTACTCTGTAGCAGGTCCTGAAAGCATGAACTGAATGCCCATGCAAGAGGTCCTCAATTACTGTACTACAACGACCATAAGTTCATCACATGTTGCACGAAGGTTTTGGATTGAATTGAAAATGAACATGATTGGATTGATTTGGTGCCTCTGGCAACTCCCAGAGGCTGTGGGAGTTGTCATATCCATCCACAGCCATCACCCTCCACTACCTCTGGTCCTTCCGGATTACCTCTGCTCCTTTGTCACTAACCTCGGAGCTGTCAGGGATGCGTCCGGGGTCAAAGGGGCCCAGGTGTAATGCCCATCACTGAGGCCGTTGCAGGGTGTGGAGCAGGCATGCATACTGATGGGCCCGATGCGGGACGATGGTCCCTGGCCACTCAGACTGAAGTGGGAATTGTGAGAAGAAGGTTACTTCTTCAGTTCCCACCCCAGGTACCTTTATGTACATGTGGCTTGGGTCACATGAGGTTTGCCACATCACCCTGCATACAGCTGCAGTCATCCGGGTGTCCCTGTGGGGGATCCCGAGGGTGTGTGCTGCATGCACACATGCTGGGTTGCACTGTGAGGCTGTCTGGGTTGTCCAGGGCTGGGTGTGTCATGCACGCATCGTGGGCAGGTCAATAATACATAGATATGGGGAAAGGTCGTCCATGTAGATAAAGATAGAAGAAAGGACAAAAGAGCAAAAGAACAAAAGGACAAAAGGAAGAACAAGAAATGAGGAACCATGATGAAAGGTGAGGGATAGAGGTGAGCAGGATACCAGGTGAGGGCGGGTGGAGCCAGGTTGGGCAGGTGTGCCCTGACAGGAGCCTCCAGATTCTGCAACCACCTCCAACTCCCCTGATGGTCACCACCCCCTCAATTCAATATATTACCTATGCCTCCCTAAGTACGGAGCCCTGAAGGCCTCTGGACAGCTCTGATGTCCGCTGGCACACCCCCACCTCTGCTGGGCAATTTAGTTGCTTGCCCTGCAAGTCTACCTTCAGGCCAATCCCTCCTTTCCATTTCTGGGCTACAGCCCATCACTCCACTAAACCTGTAACCCAACTCATCGGTAATATTCAGTTGGCTAACATGTAACTCCGTTAGCTCCACTCCGCTCGGTCCCACCATTCATGGGCCTGCCCCCTATGTAACTATATATACATAACTTGTAGATAGGTTACACCCTAGTGATAAAATCAACTAGAGTTTCCCCTCTTCTAGTTCTCTTTGCCAGTTAGTAAATTAGGGCATGGACATGTAACTAGGCACAGCACTCCTGGTTTAGTTGCTGAGGCCAAAGCTGTAAGATATGAGTTTAATTGCACTATATGTGCGATATCTTGGTTGCTGTTAGAACTGGGCGAGGGCGGATGATTCCGGAGGGGAACTGGAGACTTAGCAAGGAGGGACCTTGGCCTCAGTGACTCAAGCAGAGCGCTGTGCCATTGCTGTTTGTCCATTTGGTCCTTAATTTCATAGGAGGCAAGCAGGAAGTCTCTAGGGGGCATTTCAGGTCGATTTTAGACTAAGGACTAAAATGAGTATGTACAAGCGCCGATATATATAATGGAGAGGGCGAAAGCACAAGGAAACAAAGGGGATCCGGATCGGAACAAAGGCATCTGAACAGGAACAAAGGGAAGACAGAAGCGGAGCGGTACCAAAGGTCATAAGGCAGAACCTGTGGTATGTCCGAAAGGAGGTAAGGAGGGCAAGGCCCAGAGGGGCAGGAGGATGAGGGGAAGTGGGGATGATGACTAACTGGCTAGAATGGGAAGAAGCAGCAGTCCAAATAGGGATGAGGGGAAACACGAGAGATACATTACAAGTGGCAAAAGAGCCGAAGATGATCCATGGAGCTCAGAGGTTATGGAGGCAGGGTTGAAAGTCCAAGGAATATTGGCAATGGTGTTTACGTAGTATGAGGTCACCAATGCAATGGACTAAGGCCAAGGTGGAGTCACAAGTCCGAGGTAGGAGCTATGACAGAGGCTCAGAGCAAAGGTACGAGTGGTGTCCGAGTACAAAGTACAGGACAGCGGCGGAAGGTCATAACTTGGTGGGGGATCGATGGAAGAGGGCCAGAGGGAAGAGAGAGGAAGGAGGAAGGAGGAAAGGTGTGGAGGAGAGGAAAGGTGTCAGGTCCGAAGGTGAGTATTGGAGCGGATGGGAGAAGAGTAGGAGGGTGACGGAAGGGTGGAGGTGTTGTGGGGAGGAAGTGGAGGAGTGGGAGGAGGAGTAGTAGGAGGGTGGCAAGAGGGGTGGTGTTCGGTCCAAGGTGGGTATCGGAGCGGATGGAGATAGGACAGGAGAGGGACGGAGGAGTGGAGGTGGCATGGGGGGTGAGAGGAGGTGTGGTGTCAGGACCGAGGGTGAATATCGGAACGGACAGCAGTAGGGCAGGACTCTGGAGGTGGTGAAGAAGGAGGTCTGGGAGTCGGGTCGGAATCGGATATGCATGGATATGACAGTTGCCTCACACTTCCAGACTGTCAAATATGCTATAATGGGCTGTATTTTCAACAGGGAAGTAAAAGCTAATCCACCCTTGCAACATTCCCACACTTCCATATATACAGTGTTTATTGTTGTAAATGCGGCATTCCATATATGGCAACCCCCTCGCAACCCAGATGTAATATAGAAATGAGAAGAGAAACTGTAACTAACTAAAGAACATACGGTGCTAAAGCACCCATACTTATACTCCTGAATAACATTCCAGGGTCTTCTATGCTCAGCGCTTACACAGGCACCTAGTAACCTGTAGAATATTCTCGGATATTCCGGTTCAATCTAATCATGTGACTTGTATTCCAACATTTATACATATTTATGATGCAACAAATATACAATAAAGATATAGAATGAAGGATGGGGCAAGTGTTGCCTCCACTCCTTACAGAAGCCTTCCGCCATGGGGACATCTCCTTTGTCGTGAATCTGGTCTCTGACAGGAGTGAACTAATAGTCATGATACTACAGCATTGCAAACTTCCATCCTAACCCAGGGTCCTTCTCTTGTCTAAGTTGCACAACCTGCACCCCTTCCAATTCCTTTATCCAACACTTCCCTAATTTCTGGTTCCAATGAAGCCTTCATTAGGGGTGTTGAAGTTCCTGGAGAATGTCATATCCATACAATCCCAACCTCCATTCCGGGCTCCCAGAACTCCGAAACTGACTCCGGAGCCCTACTTCCCTTCCATCACCTTCTCCCTGCCAACTCCCAAGAGGTTATCCCACCTCTGGCTCCAACACCACCTTCGGTCCGACTCCGGAACATTCCGGGTCCGACCTCAACCTCGACACCTTCCAGATGAGCATGCAACACCTATGCTCCCGACTCCGGAATCCTGTTCACATCTCCGTCTCCGGAACCTCCGGTCTTAGCTCCGACCTCGGACTTTGACCCCACCTCCGCTTATACCCATTGTATTGGTTAGCTCATTCCATTTAGTTACCTTTGCCAATATTCCGGAGTTTAACTTCTGAGTTCGGACTTTCCGGACTTACTTCGGACCTTGCAACTATTGCATTGCTCCATTCAATTCCGCTATTCTCCCTCATTCCTATTTGGGCTGCTGCTTCCTTTCTATTCAGTCAGCTGGCCATTCCCCACTCCCATCCTCCTTCCTTCCTCCTTGGGCCTTGGCCCTT